TCGTTTGTTCACGACTTGTGTGCACCCCTTTTTTTCCTTGTCATTATTCCCTAAACAACACAGGATTACAACTATTCTTGTAGCATTTGCATCGTATTAGGTATTATAAGTAATCTAGAGATGATTTAAAGTATGCGGGGGGATGTGCGTGGGTTATATGCAAATACTACACCATTTTATATAAGGGACTTGAGCATCCACAGGTTTTGGTATCTTTGGGGGTGGGTACTGGAACTAATCCCCCATGGATACTGAGGGATGTATATTGGAATAGCTGACTGGGCTACATTTGGAGGGATATCTAGTGATTTTGGTTTTAGATTGGCACTAAAAATGCCAAATCATTTGTTCAGGTACCTGCAGTGGGCCAGGTACTCTGTTAATGTGCTGGGGTTATAGGAGAGAACAAGCCAGGTAAGGTAAAGGCATTTGAGGTGAGAGTCAAAGGTGAGGAGCCAGCCATCTGGAGAATAGAAGTCCAGGTAACAGTATGTGTAAAGGCCCTAGATACGAAGGAGCTTGGTGCATACGGGACAGGAAGGAAGGATGGTGATCTTGAAGAGGGAGAGAATGGCTTGAGAAAGGCTGGATTAATAGATGGAAAACCTAACCCTGTAGGGCATAAAAGACATGTATGGGATTTAGAATTGATGGTAAGAGCACTTGGAAGACATTGTAGGGTTTTCAGCAAGGGAGAAGTCACTGTGACTGACATGGTGGGAGTAAGCTGGAGGGGACCAAGAGGAGATTAGGCTTTTGTTAATATCATTATCATCATTTTTAGCAACTAACATTTATTATTATGTGCTTGGTCTGAGTCAGGCACTGTGCTAAACACTTTACCTTCATGATTTTATGTAAACCATGCAACAACCTAGTGAGGTGCTCTTGTTATCGCTAGTTTATAAGGAGGGAAGTGAGACACAGCCAAGTTAAGCAACTTACCCAAGGTCCTATAGCTAGTAAATGGCAAAGCTGGGATTTGAACCCAGACAAATGTACATTTTTAGAGCGTGTACTGTTAACCACTGAACCAGTACTTTTCAATGTATGGGGTGAACATCTATTAGTGGGCTGTGAAATTGAGTACATCTCAATCAGAATTTAAAAAAAAAGTGGAAAATATCAAAGTACTGTGCATGTAGTAAGGATAAAATATTGATATGCAAAGCACTGTTTTACTTGATATAGCAGTATTATATTTGGAAAGTACAAAATATGAATCTAGGAAAATTAGAAGTTGTCAGAAATGGAATGGAACGCTTACAGATAGATATCCTAGGCGTTAGTGAGCTGACATGGACTGGTGTTGACCATTTTGAATTGGACAGTCCTATGGTCTGTGTCGGGAATGATAAATTGAAGAGAATGATGTCACATTCATTGTCAAAAAGATCATTTCAAGATGATTCAAAAGCGACTGCAGCAGTACCTCTCCAGGGGACTGCCAGAAAATTCAAGCTGAATTCAGAAGAGGATGTGGAACAAGGGGTATCATTGCTGATGTCAGGTGGATCTTGACTGAAAGCAGAGAGTACCAGAAAGATGTTTACCTATGTTTTTATTGACTATGCAAAGGCATTCGACTGTGTGGATCATAATTATATAAACTATAAATTTATAAATATATAAATTATAGATAACATTACAGAGAGTTGGAATCCAGAGCGCTTGTGTTCATGAAGAACCTGTACGTAAACCAAGAAGCAGTCATTTGAACAGAACAAGGAGATACCGTGTGATTCCAGAATCTGGAAAGGTGTGTGTCAGGGTTGTATCCTTTCACCATACGTGTTCAGTTGGTATGCAATACAGTAAATAATCCAAGAAGCTAGACTATATGAAGAAGAATGCGGCATCAGGATTGGAGGAAAACTCATTAACAACCTGAGATATGCGGATGATCACAGTATTGCTTGCTGAAGGCAAAAAGGACATAAAGCACTTATTGATGAAGATCAAAGACTGCAGCCTTCAGTATGGATTACACCTTAACATAAAAGTCTTCACAGCTGGACCAATAACAACATCATGATAAATGGAGAAAATATTGAAGTCAGCAAGGATTTCATTTTACTTGAATCCATGATCAACGCCCATGGAAACAGCAGTCAAGAAATCAAATGAGATATTCCTTTAGGCAAATCTGCTGTAAAAGACCTCTTTAAAAGTGTTCAAAAGCAAAGATGTCACTTTGAGGACTAAGGTGTCCCTGACCCAAGCCATGATATTTTCAGTTGCCTCATATGCATGTGAAAGCTAGATGGTGAATAAGGAAGACCGAAGAAGAACTGTTGCATTTGAGTTATGGTGTTGGTGAAGAATATTAAATATACCATGGACTGACAGAAGAACAAATAAATCTGTCTTGGAAGAAGTACAGCCAGAATGCTACTTAGAAGCTAGGATGGCGAGACTTTGTTTCACATACTTGGGACATGTTATCAGGAGGGACCAGCCCCTGAAGAAGGACATCATGCTTGGTAAAGTAGAGGGTCAGCAAAAGGGAGGAAGACCCTCAATGAGATAGATTGACATAGTGGCTGCAGTGATAGGCTCAAGCGTAACAGCTGTTGTGAGGATGGCGCAGGACTGGGCAGTGTTTTGCTCTGTTACACACAGGGTGGCTATGAGTTGGAACTGACTTGACAGCACCCAACAACAACAACATTAGGAGAGACACTGATTGAGGAGAGCGGTGGTGACCTGGAAGGCTTTTATATGTCCCCAGGAGACGGGGACATATAAAAGAATCAATAAACAGTGCTGAGATCCCGAGTTTGCACACCATAAATTCATAGTGACACCAGTCTACACGTTTTTACAGTTTTCCTGGCTGTGCTGTATTCAGCAGAATGATGAGATACAAAGGTAAGATTGATTTAGTTTTAGGAGTTTGTAGGGCAGATGCCAGGAAAGAGCAAGGAGGCTGGGGTCTTGGGAGCAGAGACAGATTGCGTCAAGTGGTCAGCTATTGAGTCCGACTTGGCTGGGGAGGTCGATGTGTTCTGGGCAGGGTGCACGTCTTGTACAGTCTGGGGAACCTGGAGGGTAGTGAAAATACATAGTTTCTTTGGATGATAATTCCTGTCTTCTATTCCTAACACTAATTCCTTGTGTTGATAACTGAAGTATTACGACCAATTGCTAGAAACAATTTACTACTCTTTTTTATGGTGCAACCCCAAACTGAGATGGTTCTAGTATTTAAAGTTACCGATGATTTCATGTGGTGTGCTGAATCTCAGTAAATTATAGGTTGTGATCCTTAACCTTGGGTGAAGTTTAATCACATAATAATGGAGACGTTTTGTTTTTATTTATTACTTTGAGGAACTTAACATTTCAGCTATACTGAGGGCTTAAAAAATAAATGTATGTAGAAGAGAATTTATAGATACACCTCGTGTTTGTAACTGAAATAGCCTGTCTCTGAGGTGGAATTTACCCGCAGCCTGGGCCCAGTCTGTCTGAACTTGAGTAGTTTCGATTTTTCCTTTCGTTTTTGTTTGGAGTATAACAGATCTGAAAACAGTAACGTTTGTTCACTCACTGACCATTTGAGGGTCTTCTGTGTTTCGGGCAGTGAGTAAGGTGTCAGAGGAACAAAATGATTACGCAGGGTTGGCATCTCTCAGAAGCTTGTGGGTCTCCATCAGTGTGATGAACACAGTGGGGTACACACACCCTGGAGGTGCTCACCAGAGGCCATTGGGAGCAGGAAGACAATTTTAGAACTTGTCTTTTAACCTCTACTTTAAATTTCTGTGTGTTTTGTGTTGCTGATGTTGGTTGCCATTGAGTTGATTCTGACTCATGGTGACCCCATGTGTTAAAAACAGAGAACTGCTGCATAGGATTTTCTTGGTAGTAATCTTAACAGAAGTAGATTGCCAGTCCTATCTTCTGTGGTACTGCTGGATGTGTTCAAACCTCCAACCTTTAGGTTAGCAGTCAAACAAACCATTTACACCACCTAGGAACTTGTGTTTTATAACACATATATTAGAATAATAGTCTGTAATATATGGATAAACATATATACTGTATTTTTCACAAATAACGTGCCCACACGTAACGCTTATGAAAATGACGCGCAGGAGGGTTGTGTAATTGGCAAAAAACATAATGTGCATGTTTTTGCATAAAAATATGGTTTATCAGAGGTGCTCTTTTTTGCAAGTAAAGTGTGTGCAAAAAGAATTTGGAGGCTGCTACATGTTAGAATGTATTTTTAAAATATCCATTTTTGATAACTCCATTACGTTTTAACAGTTTGAGAAAACCAGGAGTTTCTCTGTGTGATAAACTATCCTCTCAATGTTGAAGTAGTTTTACTTGTCGCCTGCCTTTTGTAGTGTAAACCATACTTGTTATATGCAAAGACTCACTGCTGAGATCTGGCCTGACCAATTTGAGTCGTGTTTTCTTTGTATTGGAGGAGCTTTACCTTTTGTACAATGGAATCCTTGTTTTGAAGCACCAAACTCTGCTATATAGTCTGGCAGATGTTGGGGAATGTGGTGTGGAGAATGGTGGATGCCTATGCCCATTCCTCTATTCAGCCTCATCCCAAAGTGTCACAACCCCCCTTCCCCCACATAACATGCCCATTAAATGTCCTAAAGCAACAGGGCTGGGATGCCAAGCTCTGGCACAGCCCAGGAATTTCCCAGCCCCATCCACTTGCTCATGGAAGGTGATTTCCAGTGTGAAGTGTCCCTGTAGGAGAGCCACGAACTCCTTGGTTCAAAAGATTCTTTTCTCCTTCACTCCAAGAACTTTTTTCCTAAAATTAACTTGAAAAATTGCTATTTTAAATGAGGCATACCGAATACATGCTTCAAGGAGGTTTCTCTAGAGGCTTGTATTTTCTTTTACCCCGAGTTTCCTAGAGCGTCTGCAACAAAGTACCACACACTGGATGGCTTGACACGGCAGAAACTTGTTCCTTCACAGTTCTGAAGGATCTCAGGGGAGAATCCTTCCTTGCCTCTTCGCAGCTTCTGGTGGTTTCCCAACAATCCTTGGCATTCCCTCATTTGCAGCTGTGTCGTTTCAATGTCTGTCTGCTTCTTCACATGACTGTCTTCCCTCTGTGTGTCTCTGTCTGTCCAGATTTCCCTATCCTCCAAGGACACAAGGAGCCTTGACTGCTAACCGAAAAGTGGTGGTTTGAATCCCCACCCATCAGCTCCTCGGGAGAAAGACCTGGTGATCTCTCGTGAAGATTACAGCCTAGAAAACTCTATGGACCAGTTCTGCTCTGTCACATTGGGTCGCTATGAGTCTGAATCAACTCAGCAGCACCTGACAGCAACAACACTGTAATTACACCAGTCAGTGAACGTAGGGCCCAGCTTTGTCAAATCTGACCTCATTTTACCTTGATTACATCTGCAAAGACCCTATTTTTAAATGAGGTCACCATCACAGGTCCTGGGAGTTAAGACTTCAGCATACCTTTTTGGAAGACATGACACACTCAGTGATGATTGTGTATTTTTGTTTATGTTTCACACGTTCTCATTTTTAACATTTTAACAGGATTTCACGTATATCTTTGCAGGTTTGGTGACGATGAGAAGCATGCTTTCTGCTGACCTGCCCGACGCCGCCGTTTGTTCCGCAGGATGTCTGTGACTGAGAAATTGGTTTTTGCCTATGAATCTTCAGTGCACAGCGCCAACGTCTTGCTCAGCCTGAACGACCAGCGGAAGAAAGATGTGCTGTGCGATGTCACCGTCTTTGTGGAGGGCCAGCGGTTCCGCGCCCACCGGGCCATGCTGGCGGCATGCAGCAGCTACTTCCATGCGAGGATCGTAGGCCAGATGGATGCCGAGCTTAGCATCACCCTTCCAGAAGAGGTAGGGCAGCCATGCTTCTGGAAATCACAGTAGATTTAATCTAATCTAACTTACTCTCACATGGTCTATGAAATTAAAATAAAACATGGTGGCGGTGGTGTCAGCTGAGGAGCAGCTCCCAGGCACCGCAGGAGCTCTTTTCTTTTGCTTTTTTCATAGAAATTATGACGTTTTGCACGCAACCGGTTGCCATCGAGTCAGTTCCAACTTATAGTGACCCTGTAGGACAGAGTAGAACTGCCCCATAGGGTTTCCAAGGAGCTGCTGGTGGATTCCAACTGCTGACCTTTGAGTTAGCAGCCAAACTCTTAACCACTGCACCAATGCGTCATTAATTTTGCATGTAAGTCAGTAATACTTACTGAATATTAACTGACTGACTGGCTTTTGTGTTGTTTTTGACCAAATGGCCAAAACAGGGCATGCCCAGTGGGTTAAAGACACTTGGAGAGACCCTGTTTTGGAGAGGGTGTGCTGTGTGCCGTTCTGTCCCTGTGGACCTGACCTTCTGATGGCGGGCTGTTACTAGGTTTAAAACCAAAGACCAAACCCACTGCCATCGAGTCAGTTCCTACTCAGTGACCCTGTGGGACAGGGCAGAGCTGCTCCGTAGTGTTTCCAAGGCTGTAAACCTTCACGTGTGTGCGTGCTAAGTTCTTTACAATTTTACTGCATGTGGAGGTTTGTGTACCCACAACCACAGTCAAGATACTGAACAGTTCCGACACCACAAGGACCCCTTTTATAACCACATCCACCTCCTTCCAGCCTCTCTTCACTGTCCCTAACCCCTGGAAACCGCTATTCTGTTTTCCATTTCTAAAACTTTGTCCTTTCAAAAATGTTATAGAAATGAAATCATAAAGTTTGTGATCTTTTGGGATTGGCTTTTTTCCACAACCTCATTTCCTAAAGACTCATCCAAGCTGTCGCGTATGGCAGTAGTTCCTTTTTATGGCCGAGTAGTAGTCCAGGGAATGTATGTCCCAGTTTGTTTGACCATTCATCTGTTGAATAATAGGTTTGAGTTCAGGTTTTGGCTGTTACCAATAAAGTTGCTATAAACGTTCATGTGCAGGTTTGCACGTGAGCATAGTTTTCATTTCTCTGGGATGAAAGTCCAGGAGAACAATTGCTAGGTCATATAGTAGTTACTGATTAGCGTTACAGGAGACCAGCGAGCTGTTTTTCAGAGCGGCTGTGTCATTCCACGTTGTCCCCAGCAACCTGTGAGTGATCTGGTTTCTCCACGGCTGGCTTCGCCTGCATTTATCGTCATCACTAGTTTTTATTTCATCCATTTAAAAGTTAGTTAAGTACTTACTGATGAGCATGTTTTTAAGAAGATCACAAATAATAACGCGGTCACTCTTCCATGGGCTCAGTGTTTGAAGATGATTTTCACCCTTTTAACCCAGCACCAGGCTTTTCTCTGCATACCAGTAGGTTCCATTTGCACCTCCGTTTGCAGAGGATGGTCTGATGGAAGTGTCCAAGTTTCTTCTTAAAGGTTTTGTTCCTTAGAGCCCGTGAGCCTTGCTGAAACAGGTCAGGCATGATTTTTAGTACTTCACATAGCTCTTTTTTTTTTTTAATCTCAATCCTTTAACAATTTTATTATTAGAGATTTTTGGCATGAGATAAAGATAATAGTTACCATTTACTGAGCATCTGCCATGGGGCGGGACTACTTTGTAGATACTTTACATGTACTTTTTCTCTTCAAAAAAATCTATTTGATTTGTATTGAGCAGCTGGAGTTGTTTGGAATACAGTGGCCACAGGGAGCTGAGCTGGCGGCACGTGTCTGCACTTCAGATGTGTGTGCTGCAGGTGGTGTCTCTGCTGCTTTATTTTATAGATGATTTATCTCCGATAATACGGAAAAACTGTGCTCTCATTGTATGCCTTTATGTGACGTGAGGAAAACGTAGTTCATGCGCAGTTAGGAGTAGTGTCTATAAAGTGGAAGGCGTGGTCCCAACAAATAGGGTGTGATGTGCAGACTTGTCTAGACTCCCTTAGCTTTCCATTTCCTAGAAGAATTCTTTTTATTACTCAGTGAAAATGCCTATTTTGTAACGATCACAAGGAAGTTACTCATCTCTGTCCCTTTTCTCCTCTTGGATTTACCTATTAGCTTTCCAATGATGTGTTTGTTGTGTATGTTGGCATGTCCGCAGGTGACAGTGAAAGGATTCAAGCCTTTAATTCAGTTTGCCTACACTGCCAAGCTGATTCTGAGCAAGGACAATGTGGACGACGTGTGCAGGTGTGTGGACTTCCTGGGCGTCCATAACATCGAGGAATCCTGCTTCCAGTTTCTCAAATTTAAGTTTCTGGACTCCACCACAGACCAGCAGGAAGGCCCAAGAAAAGAGTGCTTTCTGTCCCACTGTCAGAAAACAGACCTGCAGCTCTCACCTGTGGACCAGAAGGATCTGGAAATTGACGAAGTGGAGGAATTTCTGGAAAGCGAGCACGTTCCGATTCCTCAGTGTAAACTCAGCCGACATCAGGGAGACGCAAGAGCGTCCCTTGCACTGCAGGACAGCACCAGCCAGACGAGCGAGTCCATGTGCTCAGAAAAGGACACCGCTCTGACTCTGCCATCTTTATGCCCCAAATACAGAAAATTCCAGAAAGCATTTGGAACCGACAGAGTCCACTCTGTGGACTCCAGTGTCAAAGACAGTCAGGTTTCTCCCATTCAGCCGAATGAGACACCTGAGAATGAATGTCTCGGCGGAGTCCAGGACTGTGCAGATCTGCAGGCAATTCTGAAATGTGAAGAGACTAAAACGCCAGTGGAACATGAAGAAACGAAGAAGCAAGATTCTGCTTCTGAGCATCCAGCAGTGAAGGCAGAGGCGACTCCTTTCGCTCACAGTTCTGCCGCAGACCCTCACGGGCTGTATGCTCTGTCTCTCTTACACACGTATGACCAGTATGGTGACTTGAATTTTGCTAGTATGCAGAACACAACAGTGTTAACAGAAAAGCCTTTGTCAGGTGCAGACGGCCAAGAGGAGCACACGTTGGGTGGAAGTCAGGATTTACATTTGAAATCTGACCCTGGTCCCAGGGAAGATAGTAGCCTGGCCTCTGGCGACCGGAGCAGTGTGGAGCGGGAGGTGGCCGAACACCTCGCCAAAGGCTTCTGGAGTGACATTTGCAGCACAGACTCTCCTTGCCAAATGCAGCTATCGCCTGCCGTGGCCAGAGATGTTCCAGAACAGATGTACTCACAGAAACGTTTTGAGTGTCCCTGGTTGGGTATCAGGATCAGCGAGAGCCCAGAACCGGGTCAGAGGACCTTCACGACGTTGAAGTCTGTCAACTGCCCTTTTATAAGTACTCTGAGTACTGAAGGGTGCTCAGGCAGTCTGGAGATTGGAAACGATGATTACGTTCCAGAGGCGCAGCAGGAACCTTGTCCTTACGCCTGCGTGATTAGCCTGGGAGATGACTCTGAGACGGACACGGAAGGGGACAGTGAATCCTTCTCAGCCAGAGAACAGGAGTGTGAGGTGAGGGGACTCATTGGGATCTGGAGCCCTGTGGTGCAGTGGTTAAGAGCTCAGCTGCTAACCAAAAGGTCGGCAGTTTGAATCTACCAACTGCTCCGTGGAAACCCCATGGGGCGGTTCTCCTCTGTCCTATAGGGTCACTATGAGTCAGAATCGACTTGACGGCCACATGTTTGGAATTGGGATTTGCTCTGTGTGGGCTCCTGTTTGCACCACTAGAGATATGAAAGGGCTCAGGGAGGGAGGAGGACACTCATCCACAGGTAACTATAAAACTGTGGGATAAATACCTACACGGTGAGGTGAGGGTTGAAGGACTTCTTTGTTCATATATTTAAGGTGAAAAAAAGAAAAAACGCCTTGCTGTCTAGTCAGTTCTGACTCTTAGCCACCCTGTAGGTATATGATATTAACCATGGAGTAGATTCACATGTTAACTGTTTGTTTAAATGAGATGCCTTGTCCCAGGAGGAAACAAAAACGATTCTGTGATCAGAGATCTGAGCCTCGTCGCTTCACAGTGACTGGTTTTAGGAATGTAGCTCCTAATGTAAAGTTTTCTGGGACCTGGTTTCCATGGCCATTAATTTTTTTAAATTTTCCCTTGGCCATTTCGGCTATTAGTTTAATGAATGTCTTAATAATTTAGCGCGAGTTAAGTGCCACTGTGTACGATAGTGTTACTGTTGGTAATTACTGTCCAGCCCATTCCGACTCATGGCGACCCCACGTATTACAGACTAGAACTGCTGCACGGGGTTTCCTTGGCTGTAATCTTAACGGAAGCAGATCACCAGGCCTTCTCTTCCTCAGTACTGCTGGGAATATTTTTTTCTTATATTACTAAATGAAAATGCCTATTTTGTAATTATCGCAAATAAGTTATTCATTTCTTTCCCTTTTCTACTTATCTTGGATTTACCGATTAGACGGCTTTCAAATGATGTCTGTGTTGTTTTTATTTTGTATATGAACAGGTGACAGTTAAAGGATTTGAACCTCCAACCTTTAGGTTTGTAATCGAGCGCAAACCGTTTGCGCCACCTAGGGACCTTGGTATGATCTGTGTACTCTGTGTACAAAAGTTTATATTGCTCTTTGTAAAGTATTACTAACTATAATTCCAATAATATGGGTCTGTTAGTTCAAATGGTTAAGCGCTGGACGACTAACCGAATAGTTGGCGGTTCAAAACCATGCAGAGGCACCTTGGACATAAGACCTGACAGTCTGCTCCTGAAATGTCACAGCCTTGAAAACCCCGTTGAACAGTTCTACTCTGCTCACATGGGGTCGCCACGAGTTGGAACCCAGTCAACAACGCTAACAACAGCAAAGGTCTTTATTATTTTCTTTGATTTTTATAGCCGTTGGGTATCATAGGTTTGAAAGAGGCTTTTTTTTTCCCTTGACTTTGGAAGGAGGTGATTGCTGATTTAACCTAAGAAATGATACATATGCAGGAGATATTGATAAGGCATAAATGCAGTATTTGGTATTATAAAAGAGTGTTGAAAATACAGCATTTAAAAAATTTGAAAACATTTTGTGCAACCAATTTCTATAAGCTCGAAAGACAAGCTAAGTAGGTTGTCAGAACTGACATGTTGCATTTATATTTTTGATAATGTAACTAAACTCACAATTTTGTTATTAAAGAAAGACTTGTGATCTCCTTTTCCAAACTGAAGTATGTTGAAAATGACTTTAAAATAATCATAAGGTTTTTTCTAAAGCCTTTTTTTCCTACACTGCCAAGTGAAGCGTATAGCTTTTAAATGAGTTACTTGAAGCTACCATTTTCCTGACAGAAAAATAAATTTTCTGAAATGCCTTTGAAATTACTAGCATAATCATGTGAATATTAAATCAGTGCTGCACAGTAGTATCATTCAAAAAGTAAAGTAGATTTTTTTTTTTGTTTGAACAAAAACACATAAAAGACACTTTAGAAAGAGGCTTAAGGATATCTGTGGGGCATTAACATGCCCTAATTAAATAACTCTCAATGTCTGTCTTTTCAGGTTAGTACTGTTTAACTTACTGAGAAAAGAAGTTCACTTCTCTATTTATCCTCTGAACCCTCTATAATAGAGACTAGAAATACCAAATTATTACTCCGTATTATAAGGGATTATATAGAAATTGGGACTAGAGGTCTATTTTTTTTTCTTTAATTCTAAATGAAGTTCTAGGAAACCCTAGATTTGTGTTTTCATCCTCCTAGATTTAAGTATAACATTTTTCTATTTTCTATAACGTAATATATTTTTAGCAGCAGTTACTCATGTTTATTTCACATCTTAGGTAAAACTGCCATTTAATGAACAACGAATAATTTCACTCTCTCGAAATGATTTTCAATCGTTGTTGAAAATGCACAAGCTGACCCCAGAACAGCTGGATTGTATCCATGATATTCGAAGAAGAAGTAAAAACAGAATTGCTGCACAGCGCTGTCGCAAGAGAAAACTTGACTGTATACAGAATCTGGAATCAGAAATTGAGAAGCTGGTAAGTGTAGCAAGTTTCTTATTATATAGATTCCACTAGGTTCTTTGCTTGTTCCTCCTCCTTCCTTCCCTCCCTCTCTCCCTCCCTCCCTTCCTCCTTTCCTCCCTTCCTTTTTATTTGTAGAGGAAATAACTGTTTAAATTCCTGAGTCACATACAGTATTCAGTTATACATTAATTTTAAAGTGTACCAATTACCATTTAAGGAAAATAAATTATGGCATAAAATATGGCCCAGAAAGCTTACAAAATTAAAAAAATGAGGGTTTTTACAAACTATTTGACTTAAGTAAGTATACTACTTTCTCCTCCTCGGAATTCATATGAAGCAGTTCTACGCTGTCCTATAAGGTTGCTATGAGTTGGAAACGACTCGAAAGCAATGGGTTTGGTTTTGGTTTATTGCATTATTTAGGAGCCCTGGTGGCACAGTGGTTAAGTGCTCACCTCCCAACTGAAAGGTTGGTGGTTTGAATCCATCAGCCACTCTGCAGGAGAAAGATTTGGCAGTCTGCTTGCATAAAGATTTACAGCCTTGGAAACCCGATGGGGTAGCTCTGTTCTGTCCTGTAGGGTCGCTATGAGTCGAAATTGACTCTAGGGCAATGAGTTTGGTTTGGTTTGGTTTATTGCGCTGTTTGAGTTCTTAGTTCTGCTTTTTATAGTTCTTCTATCTTCCCCCTCACCTAGTTGTCATTTACCATAACAGCTATCAGTGGTTAATTTATCCAGTTTTCCTATTCTCCTGAAAACAAAACATACAGAAAACTTTTAGGCTAACCCAGCTTGTTTTAACAGTAATTTTATTTTAGACATGAATAGGAAGCAAACGTCTCTACGGGTAGGTGCTAATACCTGTTAGAACTACTCTCTTTTCTGGCTCAAAGGTCTTATTTGTATTTTTTCATTCAGGTCAGACATTGGTTGCTGGTAATTGGTAGTTTTACTAAATTTTAGTTATCTAGGATAAACAGGCCTTGCTGCCTTCTTTGGGCTTTCTGCCCCCTCCACCTGTGCTTCAGCAGAGGGAAGCGGGAGATACGGTGATTAAAGCAAAATGGAAAAAAACCAAACCCATTGTGTCGAGTCGATTCTGACTCATGGTGACCCCATAGGTTATGAAGTAGAACTGCTCCATAGGGTTTTCTTGGCTGTAATCCTAAAGGGTGGTTAAGCAGGGTGGTTAAGTGCTGGGCTGCTAACCGAAAGTTTGGCAGTTCGAACCCACCAGCCACTCCTCTGGAGAAAGATGTGGCAGTCTGCTTCCTTAAAGCTTACAGCCTTGGAAACACTATGGGGACTCAACGGCAATGGGTTTTTTTAAATTACATTAATATACTTACAGTTTGCTTTATTCTAAAATATGTGTGAAATAGTCACAAAATTAGTGTCGGTATTACTATAACAATAAACATATTGAACAAAATTTAATATTTCTTTGCTTTTTTCCCCCCGTAAATATGTCTCAGAGTACTGACATTTAAAGTTTAAAAGGTATTTGAAGTAATTCTGCTCTGTGTTACCAGTTTGAAATACAATTAAGGTAATTTATTTCTGTTTATATTTATCACTAGGATTTTCTCTTTACATTTTTTTATTTAAGTCTGATTTTTTAATTCATTGTCCAGCTTTCTCATGCGTGCATATGAGGTGATTAAAATACCAAGGCTCAGGTCAGGTGCACCTTAGTCCTCAATGTGACATCTTTGCTTTTTAACACTTTAAAAGAGGTCTTTAGCAGCAGATTTGTCTAATGGAATAGGTCGTTTGATTTCTTGACTGCTGCTTCCATGGGTGTTGATCGTGGATCCAAGTAAAATGAAATCCTTGACAATTTCAGTCTTTTCTCCATTTATCATGATGTTGCTTATTGGTCAAGTTGTGAGGGTTATTGTTTTCTTTATGTAAAGGTGTAATCCACACTGAAGGCTGTAGTCTTTGATCTTCGTCAGTAAGTGCTTCAAGTCCTCTTCACCTTCAGCAAGCAAGGTTGTGTCATCTGCATATCACAGGTTGTTAATGAGTCTTCCTCCAATGCTATTGCCACATTCTTCTTCATATAGTCCAGTTTCTCGGATTGTTTGCTCAGCATGCAGACTGAGTACGTATGGTGAAAGGATACAGCCCTGATGCGCACCTTTCCTAATAAGGAAGACCGAAGAAGAATTGATGCCTTTGAATTATGGTGTTGGAGAAGAATATTGAATATACCACGGACTGGCAGAAGAACAAACAGATCTGTCTTGGGAGAAGTATAGCCAGAATGCTGCTTAGAAACGAGAATGGCGAGACTTTATCTCACATACTTTGGACATGTTATAAGAAGGGATTGGTCCCTGGAGAAGGACATCATGCTTGCTGAAATAGAGGGTCGGTATAAAAGAGGAAGACCCTCAATGAGATGGACTGACACAGCGGCTGCAACAATGAGATCAAACATAGCAAGGATTGTGAGGGTGGTGCAGGACCGGGCAGCGGTTCGTTCTCTTGTGCATAGGGTTGCTGTGAGTCGGAACTGACTCGACGGCACCTAACAACAACAACAATTTTTTTTCCAAATTGTTTTATATTGTACTTTAGGTGAAGGCTTACAGAACAAAGGTTCTCATTAGTCAGTGCACATATTGTTCTATGACACTGGTTAACAACCCCATGACATGTCAACACTGTCCTTACTCAACCTTGGGTTCCCTATCACCAACTTTCCTGTCCCCTCTTGCCTTCTAGTCCTTGTCCCTGGACTGCTGTGCCTCATTAGTCCATTTTGTTTTATGGGGCTGTCCAATCCCTGGCTGAATGGTGAACCTTGGGAGTGACTTCACCACTGAGCTAAAAGGGTATCCGGGGGCCATACTCTCGGGGTTTCTCCAGTCTCTCTCTGTCAGGCCAGTAAATCTGATCTTTTTTTGTGTGTGTGTTACAGTTTTGTTCTACATCCTTCTCCAGCTCTGTCCAGAACCCTCTGTTGTGATCCTGGTCAGAGCAGTCAGTGATGGTAGCGGGGCACCATCTAGCTGTACTGGACTCAGTCCGGTGGAGGCCTTGGTAGCTGTGGTCCATTAGTCCTTCGGACTAATCTTTTCCTTGTATCTTGTTCTCCATTCTCCCTTGCTCCCGAAGGGGTGAGACCAGTGGACTATCTTAACAACAATTTTTGAATATGTAACACAGTTGTGTTTCAAAAGTTAAAACTATGTTTAAAAAAAGATATGCTCCAAAGTGTTGACCCCCTCCCTTTGCCTATACCCCATTCATAGGCACGTTCTATAGGTGACCATTTTCTTTGGTTTCTGGTTTTGTTTGTTTGTTTGCTTGTTTTTCCCCTTGTGTTTCCTTTTTAAAAGACAGGTTGCTATTTTATATGGATTTTTACTTCTCTTTCTGCATCATAGAAGTATTATTCTATATGCAGTGTTCTGGGCTTTTTTCATTTAAGGAGTAACTTCTAGGAAATATTCTCTTCAGTTCAGAGAGATTGTTGTTCTTTTTACAGCTCTGCAGTACTCAGTTGCAGCTGTAGCGCAGTTTATTCAAACCAGTCTCTTACTGACGGACATTTGGGATGCTATAGTGAATAACTTTTTACATGGTTTTTGCATATTAAGTGAGACGTGTCTTTAGGATAGCTTCCTGAAAGTGAGGCTGTTAGAGCAAGGGTAAAAACACATGTGATTGTGTAGGTGTTAAGGAACTCACCTCCACAGGGTGTGTCCTGCTGCCCTCCCACCAGCAGTGTGTCTGTCTGTTTCCCACAGCTCAGCAAAGAGTTTGTTGTCAGCTTTTAGATTTTTTTCCAGTCTGGTAGGTGAGAATTGGTATCTCATGGTAGCTTTTAAAACTTTTTTCTTACGAGTGAAATTAAGAATTTTTATTCATATCATTAAAGGCCATTTGTGTATCTTTTTCTCTGAACTGTCTGTTCAGAAGTCTTGAATTGTAAGGAACTTTAGTGACCATTTTTTAGCCATGAGCACTGTCGAAGTTCCTGAGTGGCGCAGTTAGGCCCTCGACTACTAGCTGAGAGATTGGCCGATTGAACCCACCTGGAGGTGCCTCGGAAGACAGACCTCCAAAAGGGTCACAGCCTTGAAAACCCAATGGAGCAATTCTACTCTGCACACATGGGGTCACCATGAGTCGGAATCAACTTGACAGCAACCAACAACAGTCTGTTGTCCCTGTTATCTGGCCATTTCAATGTCAAGTTCTTGTACTCCTTATCTTTATTGGGTGAGTTATATATTTAGAATCCTTTCTAAAAATACCTTATATTTTAACAAATATTGTACACAAGCTGTTGAAAATGTGGATTTGGATGTAAAGTTGAATTGTTGGCATGAACTGTAGATGGCGTCTGTTAGTCCTACCATGCCTTGTGATTAAAGCCAATGGAACATTCCGGCAGCCCAATTCTGACATGACTACTAATGGCCCAGACTCTCCAGGAATGAAGGTTTGGGTCACCCCACCGGGCAAAGAATGATGACCAGCTGACGTGCTTGCTGAGGGCAAAGGGAATACGGAATGGGTGGTAGAAGAAGTTCATTCTGAATACCAGCTACGGCCGCCTGACCAGTTGCAGAAACGAGGGCTGTAATTGTTTCTGGTATTTCTTCCTTGTTTCGTTATACGTGTATATGCGTGCGTGTGTGTGTGTATATATATATATATATATATCAAATATCTTTGTTTTCTTCCCTCCCTATTCCATTACATATTATAAAATATAAGATATAAATGGGGCTAGTGCGTTTTCAGTTGTACACATGTTAGTTGTATCATGTTAGGCACAGATATGACTTTATAATTGTTTTTATTTAGAGATTATGTATGGTTTAAAGAGATGTATACGGGTGCCAAGTTGACAAGGGGTCTGCTGTATTCCAGACATACTCTTCTTTACCTCCACAACTGCATGAGCCATTTCCTTGAGTTGAAGCTCTCTCTATATATTTTGGAGCCCTGGTGGCACAGTGGTTAAGAGCTCAGCTGCTAACCAAAAGGTCAGCAGTTTGAATCCACCAGCTGCGTCTTGGAAACCCTATGGGGCAGTTCTACTCAGCCTAAGACAGACGGCCTTAAAATATTTAAAAACTGTTGTTGTTGTTAGGTGCTATGGAGTTGGTTCTGACTCATAGCAACCCTATGTACAACATAACAAAACACTACTTGATCCTGTGCCATCCTCACAATCATTGCTATGTTTGAGCCCATTGTTGCAGCCACTGTGTCAGTCCAACTCATTGAGGGTCTTCCTCTTTTTCAGTGACCCTCTACCAGGCATGATGTCCTTCTCCAGGGACTGGTCCCTCCTGATAACATGTCCTTACTTCTAAGGAGCATTCTGGCTGTACTTCTTCTCAAACAGATTTGTTCTTCTGGCAGCCCATGGTATATTCGGTATTCTTCACCAGCACCCCAATTCAAGTGCGTCAGTTCTTCTTCGGTCTTTCTTATTCATTGTCCAGCTTTCGCATGCATATGAGACGGTTGAAAAGACCATGGCTTGGGTCAGGTCACCTTAGTCCTCAGAGTGATGTGTTTGCTTTTTAACACTTTAAAAGAGGTCTTTTGCATCAGATTTGCCCAATGCAATACATCATTGGATTTCTTGACTGCTGCTTCCATGTGCGTTAATTGTGGATTCAAGTAAAATGAAATCCTTGACAACTTCAGTCTTTCTCTGTTTATCATGATGTTGCTTATTGGTCCAGTTGTGAGGATTTTGTTTCTTTATGTTGAAAGGTAATCCACACTGAAGGCTGTGTTCTTTGATCTTCATCAGTAAGTGCTTCAAGTCCTCTCTGCTTTCAGCAAGCAAGGTTGTGTCATCTGCATATCGCAGGTTGTTAATGAGTCTTCCTCCAATCCTGATGCCTTGTCCTTCTTCCTGTAGTGCAGCTTCTCGGATTATTTGCTCAGCATACAGATTGAATAAGTGTGGTGAAAGGATACAGCCCTGACACACACCTTTCCAGATTTTAAACCACGCAGTATCCCCTTGTCCTGTTCCAATGACTGCCTCTTGGTCTATGTACAGGTTCCTCATGAGCACGATTAAATGTTCTGGAATTCCCATTCTTTGCAACATTATCTGTAATTTGTTTTGATCCACAGAGCCGAATGCCTTTGCCTTGTAAATAAAACACAGGTAAACATCTTTCTGGTATTCTCTGCTTTCAGCCAAGATCTGTCTGACATCAGCAATGATATCCCCCTTCCCACATCCTCTTCTGAATCCAGCTTGAAATTTCTGGCAGTTCCCCGTTGATGTACTGCTGTAACTTTTTTTGAATTATCTTCAGCAAAATTTTACTTTGGTTTGGTATTAATGATAGTGTTTAATAATTTCCACATTCTGTTGGATCACCTTTGTATAGAACGAGCACAAACAGGGATTTAAACCCAGTAACTGTTAATTAGCATTATACACAGTTTTGTAGGAATTCTTTGTATAAACCTTTAACAGTACGTTTGAATAAAGCAAGGTTCTTTTACCCTTTTAGCTATTTTTGTTCCAGAAAGGAATGTATTTGAAGGATGGGATTATAGATAGCACTATGAAATAACCTGTCTAAATGTTAATTGGCAACCTCAAATCTCCAGAACCTGCCAAGAAGCAGACAGGAAGCAGAACGAGACCTCTGAGTTGTCAAGAGAATTGTTCTAAATTTCACAAAGGAGACCTTTGACCTTTAGTCAGAATTTATTTACTGTACCTATGAATGGCTTTATTATTTGCTTTCTTAGCTCATAGTAGATTAGATGTAATAAAATGGTAGAATAGGAAGGATGAGGTGGGATGATGATAGAAAAAGATACGTTGTCAGCAGTAGTGATGGTGGACAGAAAGACAGGAATTAGGAAAAACTTGTGAAAAATTCTGTGGCAGAATTTCCTGTAGGGATAAAATTTAAAATAATAATTCACAAACACAAAATTTCCCCTAAGCTCTTTACGCTTTAGTAACTTAACACACCAACGTCCTGACTCTGGGGATGCTAACCTCTAATCCCATCTCTAAAATGGGTTTAATATCGCTTAAATCAGCCAAGTCAATGTGTGAACTACGTAGCTGAGATCACATGTTAGAAAACACCCAGCACGGTATCTGGCCCACAGTAAATGCTCAACAAACGTCAGTCGTTAGACTCTTACAATGATTTGTCTGTGACTAGTAAAGTTCGCTGTAGTTGTTTAAGAGGACTTTGTTGCTTTATTCTGTCCAACATGTTAATAGATTTGTTTATCTGCAGCACCCAGATCCAAAAAACTCTGAAAACCATATAAGTTTGTTGCAAACCCTTTGGTCAAAAAACCTGTCCCCAACTGGTATCAGGCTATATAGAGTCTTTATCCTACTTCATGCGTTATTTGATATTTTAATGCTCATGTAACTATGTTAAGATGTTTGATTATGGGGTGCTGCCACAGACCCTGCTGGGGAATTATGCATGCACCCATATTATCTTTCTAAAGCTGAGAACGTCTTAATTCCAAGATACATCTGTAGTACTAAGGGTTTTGGATGAGGGAAGTGGCCCTTGGTACTTGTGTATGTGAATCGAATTGAAAGGATAAGTCCCACTTGATCTTATTTAAGGAGAAGGGGCTGTCGATGCGAATGTTTGCTCATCTTAGAGGTGCTGAATGGGTCCTGAGCTGATAAACACAAGTCACTGTGTTCTCTTTCCCCTCTTCACAGCAAAACGAAAAGGAGAGCTTGTTGAAAGAAAGAGATCTCATTTTGTCAACTCTGGGTGAGACAAAGCAGAACCTGACTGGACTTTGCCAGCAAGTGTGCAAAGAAGCAGCTCTAAGTCCGGAACAAATACACATCCTCGCCAAGTATTCAGCCTCAGATTGCCCACTTTCGTTTTTAATTTCTGAGAAAGAAGAAAGTACTTCCGACGGTGAGCGGGCATTGCCGTCCATTTTTAGCTTACGGGATGGGCCTCCCGCTGTGCTGCCGGCCAGTGAGCAAAGCCGCTGCTACCGCAGCTCCAGAAAGAACAAGGAGCCTGGGGGTGGGCGGGGGCAGGAGTCACGTCAGACGTCCACAGCTGGCGGTGAGCACGCCGGGCTCCTGGAGCAGTGTCGTCAGAGCGGGGCCATCTCTGATTTCTGTCAGCAGATGACTGATAAGTGTACTACTGATGAGTAAGCTAGGCTCTGCATTCACTTCTTCAGACCGTCTGATTTCCTCCCGAAGTCCTGGCGTTGTCCTCAAAGCCCAGTACAGCCATCTGTCTCTTAACAACCGTTTTTTTTTTTTGCAATTTCTCTTAAGTCAGCCCTGACTTCTTGATTTCCACAAGAGATGCAGAAATGATTTACCTCCTGGATACTGAAAATCACATGTGAAAATGCAGTAGACCTTTAAAACTCATGTTTTAAAGAATAATAACTATTACTAATTACTCTTCCCGGTATTCAAGATAAATACAAGCACGAGAACCGTGGCTTATCAGACAGCAGTTTAACAACTTGAAACATCCACAGCTAGTTCTTCTGAAGCAGCAGCCTGCAAGAGTTGAATAATCTGACCTTTTTGCAGTATACTAGTTTAAAAGGTCCCCCCTCCCGAGCGATGACGATAGAGTTCTCTTCTAATCAGAAGTAGGGTTTGGGCCACTGTAGGACTGTGTGTTTTGTAGGCCTGCAGTGTGAGAAATAAAGAAATTGTCTTGTCTAAATCCTAGAACTTGCTCTTCAGCTCCTTCTAAAACGAGAGGTAGTTTGGACTCCACTGTGACTCTTAAGCTACATTGGGACTATTTAATGACCAGGGCAGGTGGTTGGCTTTAGTTGGGAAGCCTCCCTGTATGGACTATAGACATTCTGGCTGCACAGACAGTAGAAAAGCATCACGATCCCTATTTTCTTTTCCCTGTTCAGTCTCTACCACACCTGGGCCCATTCCTGATGTTCTTGTCCCTTTGGAAGAAGACGTAGGACTCAGGATCCAGTGGCATGAGTGAATGAATGAATGCATTGGCTGTGTTATCTTAGCTTTCTTAGGATCCTGGAGAGCTTACCAAAATACAAGCCTGTTTACCTTCCCACCATAGGCTACCCGATGGCAAGAAAACCAGACGTCAGGGGCAACGGAAATCGTTTCCATTGACCAGGAGTAGCAATTGTTTGTCTTCCACCGTATTTTTGAAGGCCTGTGGTTTACCTGTGGAGAAACATTAGGTAGATACAAATGTACCTGCAGTAACCACCCAGGTGTGTGAAGTAGGCTGAAATGAGGTAGAGGAGATCTTGTTCCATGGTGAGTGTGAATTTGGAAGCCCGGATTTAATCCTTGCCCTCTTCCTCAAATCTGTGATATAAGAGCACAAAAGTCATTTCGACTTCAGCGTTTTAAAATCAGTCTTTGTGTTTATCCAACTGTGTTATTAAATGTGGTTTTTGTAATCTGAGTGCCCACCCCATAACATTTTGCCGTGGTTCTTAGCCATTTTGGGGTTGTAGGTTTGAGAGTCAAATGAAAGTTATGGACCCTTTCAACAATTAAAAAAAAAAGCATATACTCACATTCATGGAAACATTTGCAGAACCCAGTTTTAAAGGGTCCAAAGAAGTAGTTTATAGTGTTTGGGTTCGAAAGGACTTCATTTCAGACATCTGAAAGAGACATTGCTATAGATTGTACCCTGAGCTTAGTGAAGGGCCCTGGTGACGTGGGGGACAGCAGTCCATCGTGAACAAGTGAGCCTGAAGCAAGTGGACATTTACTGGGAGGGTACATGGGGAGCTGACTTCATATTTCAGAGTAATTGGTCAGATGTTACCCTTTTTGATGGATGTGTGTGTGTGTGTATGTGTGTGAGTGTGAGTGTGATGATTTTGGATATTTTCAGTGGTTTGTATGCTATCTCTGTTATTGACTTAGTTCTAAGAGGAAACTAGTTGGGCTTGTTTATTTTCTAGAGGCTTTTATGAAGACACTCAAGAATTTGTCTGGGAAAATTGACAATTCTACGACAGTGCGTTTCATACTGCAGAAGAATTGTATATAAATATCCCCACATAGCTATTTCTTGGATATTTGCAATTTTAATTTTCAGCTTCACAATATAAAATAATATAAAAACTTGGCTGGTTTACAAAACGCAAACTCATACACAAGCCGGTGGAATCCTTGATTTTCTACCTCAGTGTCTACTCAGCTGTTTGTCATATCAGTTTGTGTATGTGCAAATGTCAAATAATCTTTTGCTTCCATTGCCTCTGTAAATATCTGCTTTGAAAGGTTACTTACTATTTTACAATAAAATCAAGTTGTCTCAAGAGATTAAATACGATTTTTAAGGCACTTGGTTTAAATTTCTCTCTACATATAAGCAGTTTAGCATTACAGATTTATTTGAATGGTATTCTGATTATTGGCCAACTGTAATAATTCTTAAAATATAGCATTACTTTGAATAGCCAGGATGTAATACAGATAACTACACTACCTCATACCCACATGATTTTTCAAGTTGTAGTACAGATGGACAGAGAAAGAAAAAAGATTTTATCTGTCTTTTGGCCGTAAGATGGGGGAAATTTTCTATATATTGCATAGCATTACACATTTATGCCTCTTTTCACATTAACTTCTAAAGAAGTTTTTCTAGGAAAATTTATTTCAAGTGGTTTTTTTTTTTGGTTTTTTTTGAGGCTGCCAAAGACAAATGATAGGATGATGTGTGTACAGTGTATACCTTCTCCTTCATGCAGAATTTTGAAAAGGCTGTTTTTAGTTTGTACGTTGCATATTTACGTGATCATTGCTCCTTGTATTATGAGCTGACCTTCTCAGTGCTTGGTGATTTTTATAAGGCTGTTATGTCTAATTCAGTAAAATAACAATTACCTTAAAATTTTTCCCCTTATTTGAATTCTATAGCTATAGCAGATAATTTGTTGAATTGTTACATTCAAAACAAATGTGGATATAATCTCGGTTCTACCATGTAAATGTTATCATTTACTATAGCTTAATGCTAAATCAATTGCAAATAAGGAATTAAATATATTTAATGCAGTTGATGACGATACAGGTTGTGTGTGGACCCTCAGCCACGTTAACAACTTGGGAAAGAAAACGAATCAAACAAATGGCAATGTTATAATGAATTCTCAGGTGAACTTTTTTCAGTAATGAAACATCTATTTTGAATTTGTAAATATTTTAAATGTTTTATTAAGGCATGTAATAAACTGTTCTTTGAAACGTGTTGGGCAGAATGAAAATTTAAAGCCATAATGGTAAACGGTGGCATACTGATTGTAAAATAAATAAATAATAACATCCATTGATTTTTTTTTTTTTGTATCTTTCGGAAGATCATTTTCTAACAATGCAATAAAACCACTGACCTTATAGATCCATGTCCTGTTAAGACCATGTTTCATTAAAAATAATACACTTTGAGAGTATTTAATTTACATTTTCTTCCTAATGTATTTACCCAAATGTAGCAAAACTATAAATGTCAGATGTCGGTGATAAATTGACAGTTAAATAAAATTCTCTAAAATCCCTTCTAATTGAACAGAGTTGTCCATTCCATCCCCATGTTTTCACTTTTGTAGAAAGGCCCTGGAACTCAGCTCTCAGCTTCTGAAAGGTCACAGCCATTGAAAACCCTGTAGAGTGCAGTTCGGCTCCGACACACGTAGGGTTGCTATGAGTCAGAATCGACTTGACAGCAACTGGTTTGGTTTTGCTATGTGGATGTACTAATTTTAGTTTTTGGGTCAGTAATTGGCATTGTTGTAGCATTTGTAATAATTAGCTGATTATATGTCTGGGAAAAAAAAAAAAGATTCCTAGCCCTCAGATTTCAGGAAGCACAGATTCCAGCCTTATTTCTGATTTATTTAATTTCAGCCTCTGCATAGCAATGTAGGACGTTTTAAGGGATATGGCACAGTGGTTAAGAGCTTGGATGCCAACCAAAAGGTTGGCAGTTCAAATCCACCAGCTGCTTCTTGGAAATCCTATGGGGCAGTTCAGCTGTGTCCTATAGAGTACGAGTCACAATCTACTTGATGGCAATGGCTGTTTTTGGTTTTATCTTTATCAGTCATGTTTTCTTCTTTATCTGCTGAGTGAACTCTAGAGGGTTGCATTTGACTTCTAACCTGGCCCTTTTAGTCCAGCTTTGTGCAGATGTGGGGGTGCGGATGGGGAATGGGGCACAGACCTAGGATAGAGCATCTAGCGGGTAGGGCCGGGGATGCGGCCAGACATCCAGCAGTGCACAAAGAATTATCTGCCCAGGATGTGAGTCTAGAGGAATTAAAGACTTAAACTATCTTGCCGTCATCAGTTCAACGTACACAACTTTTAAGTAAAAATAAATCCTGAAACTGTCTTCCCCAATTGTTTTTTTCGGATCAGCCTTAGCCAGAGGAGTTCTTGTTGCCTGGGCTGATGGGTTTTCACATGCTGTAGCTGGAACCGCCTCTTACGAGGTGGTGGTTCCTTCAAGGCGCAGAAGGAACTAGGTTCAAGGTTCAATCTCCGATGTGCTCCCTTTTTTAAAGGATCTGAAGAGTTCCCTCCTGGCAGTCTACTTCCGAAAACCAGCCAATGGGAAACCTTATGGATCACAAGAGACACTTATCCGATATAGTGCTGGGAGGAGAGGTCCCTAGGTTTGAAGGCACTACACAATAGCTGCAACGACAGGTTGAAATATACCAACCATCATGAAGATGACGCAGGACCCGGCAGCGATTCGGTCTGTTACACATAAGATCGCCGTGAGTCGGAGCCAACAGGATGGCAACTAACAACAAAGAGTTAAAATGAGCCCGTTGTCCCTGGAGCCCTGGTGGTGCAGTGGTTTAAGAGCTCGGCTGCTAACCAAAAGGTCGGCCGTTCGAATCCACCAGCTCCTCCTTGGAAACCCTATGGGGCAGTTCTACTTTGTCCTGTAGTTCTCTAGGAGTCGGAATCAACTCGATGGGAGCGGTTTCAATGGATAAGCAGTTATCCCAGGCACAACTTTGTTCCCTGAACTCAGAACCCGGTGCTGCCAGAGACCACAGTAGAAACTCAGTGGTGTCTAAGAACAGAAGAATCTCGGTTTCTGCTTCCTCAAGATGGCAGTTTTCTGGAACTCACAGCCTGTGATCTTAAACTCAGTTGGGAGAACCTTCAGAAAGGGCTTGATTTTTGCCCTATGCGATGGATCATTTCTGGGGAACAGACCTCACCTTTACCTAACACCCTAATTTACATTTTGTCTCCCAATGATGTATTCCGGGCACCAAGGACTGACTGAGCAAGGGCTCCCTCTAGGGACTGTGAGGAGCCACACTCCTGCATACTGGTGTTTTCAGCCCTGGCCCTAGGGCGTGTCTGGCCTGCCTCTTGCAATGGAATAGGCCCCTGGGTGACCTAAGCGGTTTGCACTCAACTGCTAATCTAAAGGTTACCGGTTTGAACCCACCCAGCGGAGCTATGGAAGAAAAGCCTGGCAATCTGCTTCTATAAAGATCACAGCCAAGAAAACCCTATGGAGCAGTTATCCAGCATGTGGGGTCACCCGTGAGTTGGAATCAACGGTGACCCAGATGTAAGTAATCCAGAGTCAATTATAGACAAGCCATCTGGATCCAAGGCTAGGCCCTCCGCCATTCCCTCCTTGGGTTTGAATGCAGAGTGGAATTTGAGACAGCCAGTGTGGCCCGGGGACCCTGGTGGCACAGTGGGTAAGAGCTCAGCTGCTAACCAAAAGGTCAGCAGTTTGAATCTACCTACCGCTGCTTGGAAACCTTCTGGGGCAGTTCTTCTCTGTCCTGTAGGGTTGCTGTGAGTCGGAATTGACTTGATAGCGACGGGTTTTTTGGGTTTTAATGTGGCACTGCCTCCCCTGGTGGGCATTCCCAGCGCACTGGAATCCAGCCGTCTTGAAAACAGGTGAAAAGGAGAACATACGTATTCCCTTTCCCAGTTCAGCCTCCAAGGCCTTAACGTCTCTGTTTTCACTGTAATCTTTTTGCCTCTGTCGACTGCGGCCCCTGCTGAGGCCTTTGTGCTGCCAGGTCTTGGCTTGTAAGGCTGCTGTCCTGCTGGGCTTGGAGAGGCCACCCACGCGCCTGCTGCTGCCCAGGAGTTAATTTTTGCCATATTGCACCCGCTTCCTGAGACCACCAAGGGGAGGTCTTGTAAAGCAATTTCTGTCGACCAAATTTAAGATCACAGGTAGTAGTAGATTCCAGAAGGGAGTCAGAAGGGTGGTACCAACAGTTAAGCGCTCAGCTGCTAACTGAAAGGACGGTAGTTCAGATCCACCCAGAGGTGCTTCAGAAGACAGGCCTGGCAGTCTGCTTCCCAAAGGTCATAGCTGCAGTGATGGACGAGGTTGGAACAGGGCCAGCCAACGTTTCATTTTGTTGTACATGGGGTCGCCGTGAGTCAGAGTTGGCTCGACGGCAGCTATCTAGCTAGCTAGCTACCTTGTGCCAAACCACAAATACTTCTTTTTCCTCTTCCTCGCCTTTATTACCTACATTGTTCTTGAAGTATAAATGAAAAAGGAATGGAAAATATTTTTTACAATGAGCACAGTGCGTTGTTTTTCCATTTATAAAGCAAGTTGTCTTCGGTAGATCGTTTTCTGTCTCTTTTCTTAGTTCACGTTTAGTCACTGTCCAGAAAGTCAGATGTTTCCTAAACATTTAATTTCCTTCTTTCAGGAGACGAGACGCAAATAATATTCTTGATACCATCTTGATACACAGGTTTCTGAGGTGATATTAATCTGTTGCAAGGAAGTCTTGCTAATAATAACCAGAGTACTATTAAATATGAAAATATCCCTTATAATTTAATCCTTCTAAAGTTGTATCTCTTTGTCCACCTCAGAAACTTAGTTTTTTGTTTTGTTGTGTTTTTTGCTTTGGGCTGTTAAATTCAAAGGAGTCCCTGGGTGGCACAAATAGTTAAGTGCTTGGCTACTAACCAAAAGGTTGGTGGTTCAAATCCATCCAGAGGTGCATTGAGAGAAAGGCCTGGCAATCTACTTCCGAAAGATCACAGCCATTGAAAACCCTGTGCAGCAGGTTCTGCTCTGAAACACGTGAGGTTGGCATGAGTTGGAAGCAGCTCAATGGCTGCTGTTTGTTGGTTTGGGTTTGGGTTTGGTTAAACTTCAAGAATCTTCCTTTGCCAAATAGGCATACTATACTATATGCTATACAAATATACGATACAAATAGGCTTGCTTACTTTGGTTTAAATGATATTAAATGGTAGCTTCATATATTTGGTATAGGACTATTGTTTAATGGTACCTTTAAAAGCAGATTTTCTGAAGAAAGCGGGTTTTTGTTTGTTTTTATTTTTAACACCATGTTTTGGCCTTGTCTGAGCTTTTTATCAGATTTTTAGAGGAGCTGGACTCTATGTCCACCACCTGATATTTGAGGGATCTTAGCCCCGGTGGTGCAGTGGTTAAGAGCTCGGTTGCTAACCAAAAGGTTGGCAGTTCGAATCCACCAGCTGCTCTGAGGGAGAAAAATGTGGCAGTCTGCTTCTGTAAAGATCACAGCCTTGGAAATCCTGTGAAGCTGTTCTACTCTGCCCTACAGGGTCACTATGAGTCGGAATCGACGACAATGGGTTTGGTTTGGTTTTTATGGAAGGTTTGCAAAATAAAATCAGCCAAGAAGTATTCCATACCATTCCTAGTTGTTTGGGTGTCTGCTCCAGCAGTCTGTCTTGGCTAACCAGAGAAGTGGGTAGCATCTAGGAGGGGACCTTTGGGGAATAAAGAACGGAGTTTGATGCTTACAGGAAAGAGGAGTGGAGCACATGCAAATTAAGAGAGATCTGGCTGCTCTAAGGGTAGGAGAATTTGGCAATTAGGCGCCCTTAATAGACCGGCCTTGTGTTCACTGGGTTTGGGAGCGCAGACAGCTGCAAGTATACTAAAAATAGGGTCAGTACAAAGTATGCACTTAGGGCTAAAGGAATTGCACACATTTAGGCAAGGACTTGGCACGGTTCCAAGGTCTTTCAGTAAAGGGACCGTGTGGACGAATAGAAAGAGCCTGGACCTAGAATTAAGCGAGGTCTAGTTTTGAAGCCTGGTTTTGCCACTTACTGTACAGCCACAGGAAAGTGGCTGAGTTTCCTTAACTGTCCATCTCTTATATCCAGTCTTCTGGCCCTTGAGATCAAAGGAAGATTGACTGCAACTATTCACACCCTGTGAAAAAGCAACTCATCAGTTCAACACACCGCATTTCCTGAACACTCTCCTGAATTTTGGGAGAGGGGAGGGAGTTTCTGAATGTGAATGTGAAGTGTGAGTAGTATGGCTGGCCTGGAATCTGAGATTGTCTCAGCTGACTTGTCACTTGTAGTATGTTTTACACTTTGTTGATGGGGGCACTAAACTCCACCACTTCCTTTAGCTCCGCCAAAAGATAAAAAATTAGCTCAGATACCTCGGGAACTAGACTTCTGTGAGTAAACTTAATTGAAAATTTGGAAAATAATGTATTTATATCGTAGCAATACAGACAGCTTCAGAGCAAACACTGTCAGATCACCATGAGATCGCAACACTTCCCTCCTATTGGGGAATTTTCACAAACTGCCACCCTCCTGTTGCGTCTCAGCCCCACGTCATCCCACTGGCCCTTTTTCCCTCCAGCTCCCCGATTGCCCCCAGGGACTCCGCATTCTTCTCTTTGGAATATGTACAACAGTTCAGCTCTCTCCCGTAGCAACCCGCAGGGTCAATGCTAGACATCGTCAAGCACAAGAAGTCGCAAGGACTCAGCAGACAGAAGGACGTTTCGTGGAGAA